CATGGGAACGCCAATCCTTGAAATTTCCATCTTTTAAGTTATGGTGATCCAATCTAAACTGGTTGCCCTTCACAACAGTTGCACTGACATTGTGGGATCTTCCTTCCCCATCTTCCTTTAACTTTGGCCTTTCTCCTATTTTCTGTGTGTATATCTTCCTTTCCTCTTTTGGTTTATGCCCTCTTTTTGGAAGAACATGTCTTGCGGTAGCTTCCTGGGAAAAGATGCATGGGAGGTGGAATTTTTGAGACTTTGTATGTCTACAAAAGACTTTGTATGTTTATTCTACCATCACACTTACTGGATAGTTTAGCTGGCTGGGTGCAGAATTCTAGGTTAGTGTATTAGTTAAGGAATAGACCCCAATGTACTATAGTTCTAACGATATAGTTTATTTCTCTCTTACATTGACGGTCTGGAGGAGGCAGGCAGGAAGACAAGGTCACCGAAGCACTCAGTTTCTTTCCAACTCATTGTTCCACCATTCTCTATGTCAATCCTAAGCCAATTTACCAGCAACACATTTAAATTCAAGCCCACAGGAAGGGGGAGGAGAGGAAGTAGAGAGCAAGCAATTTCCTTTAAAACTGTGACTGAGAAAGTTGCATACATTCTGTTCATGGTCTATTGGCCCCCATGGAGTGAAGTTTTTTCTAGTCCATCTTATTTGCTCAGAATGTTGACTTTTCAAGTCCTAATTTTACACAGGGGTCTAGATCCAATCTCCATGTGGGGGCTCTGGTATTCATTTTCTATTTTCTGTGTGTGAAGCTCATTAAAACTCAAAATTCCAGGCCCCAGGGAGAGGCAGAGGCTCTAGCAGAGCCATCAGCTTAAGCCCCAACGGCTTCCTGACGCTCTGAGCAGCCTGCCCACCCCTCACCACTGCCTACAAAGCCCCGGTGGTCCGACCCTCCCATCTTGCTGCCCCTTTCTATCCCCTTCTCCCTCACACACCAGGCTCTGGCCCCTCCCTGTCCTAGAGCTCACCAAGCTCTTTTCTACCTCCTGGCCTTTTCACAAGCCACTCCCTCTGGCTGAAAGGCTCTTCTCCCAGATATCCGTTTAGCTTGCTCCCTCCCCTCATTCTGCTCCAATGTCACCAACTTCCAGACTTTCTCTGAAGGCTATGAACAGAATAGCTCGTCACTACCCTCTACTCAGCTTTTACTTTGTCTCAGAGCACCCGTCACTACTCAGACGGTCTCTTTGCTTATTTATTTGTTCATGGTCTGACTCTCCCACTAGCTCTGTGCCGAGGCAGTTGATTTGGAAAGTGATGCCAGGGAGCAGAAGTGAGGGAAGGGACGTGAGCACAGGAGGGGGAGCCAGTACAGGGATATGTTACTGAGTCAACTACCCCCAGGGTCTTCTGAGGAGACTATGAATGGTGGCTCAGAACTGTCAGGGGAAGAGAGAGAAGCCTGTAGACCTCAGCTGCTGGTTCCTTTGGTCAAGCGTGGCCCCCTCAGGTGTTTAATTCCCCTGCACTTCTGGGCAGTACATGTGTCAGAGAGGCTCTGGGGGAAGAAACAAGAGGCTTAGGTCTGAGGTGAGTCCATGTCAGGTTGTCCCTGTGCAAAACTGGCGGAGGCCCACATAGAAGTGGTTGCTGTGACAGTGGCCGGAGTAAGAGGTGGTGCTGAGAGACGACACAAAGACCATGTATGGCTATCTCCTGCATAGCTCTTTCTCAAGCATTTAGATGAGTGGCCAGCACGCAGTAAACGCTCAATGAATATTTGAGTGAATGAATGAATGGTGCTGAAGTCTACTGGAGAGAAGGCAAGTAGTGATGAGTTAATATTAAGTGGGCCATGGTTTATGATGGGGTAAGTATAGGTTGCCAGGGGACCTGTAGTGGGAACCTAGCTATTCTACTGGAGGAGAGAGGACTTTCTGGAGATAATCCTTAAGCCGAAATCTGGAAGATGAGCAAGAGTTCACTGACTGGCTTTCAAAGCACATCAGAGTAAAAATATGAGTGATAGAAATCACAGGTAACATTTACCAAGCTCTTTCCCTGGGCCGATTTGCTGAGTGCTTCATGGGCCTTGTTATTTAATGTTTGTTTTTAACCCTATTAAACATGGACTGTTTGAGCCATTCAGAGAAGTCAAGTGACTTGCAGTGACTGGTAGAGATAACCGTTTCCCCCCACCTTTACATAGGGGTGACTGAGGCCCAGAGCAGGGCACTGACTTGCCCGCGGTCACAGGAAGTTAACGGTAGAGCCGGGACTAAAACCCAGATCTCCCAACTCCTGGGCTTGTGTCCCTGCTCCTGAGCTGGGCTCAGGGGCTCAGGAAGAGGGAGGGAGGAGGAGGGTGAATTAAACACAGCCAGGCTGAGCTGGGTGGGCACTGCCTCCTCAGCTATTACCAGAAGAAGCTGAAGGCAGGCACCTTTAAGGCCCGAGAGATGGAATCGGCCACAGGCCGGCTGCGGTCCCGGAAGAAGCTTGCCTACAATTCCCAGCAGGCAGACATCCTGGAAGTCCCAGAACGAAGAGTCCTCAGGATCCTGAGCCAACTGAAGCAGCAGAACTACGGTGAGGGCCCTGGGCCCCGGCACAGCCGGGCCCAGGAGCCGAGACGTGGTTTCCCACTTCGGGCTTAAGCGAGTACCTCAGGCAGCAGGCTGCGAGTCACCACCCACCTCCAGCCTTCTGACAGACTTCCCCCTGAGCACAGGTTGGTCCTAAGAGCCTGGCTTGAGAAGGAAGAGCAATCCCAGCTCATCATTTATTGAGTACCCACTGGGATCACTCACTGTGCCAGGCCCTTTGCATTTATGCTAGAATTTAATCCTCATAATCACGCATTTACCCCACGTATTCACAATGAGAAAATTGAGGTTTAAGTAACTTGCCCAAGGCCCCACAGCTAGCATGTGTCAGAAAGGGAAGTTTATACTCATATCTGCCTCCAAAACCTGTGCTGTTTTCAATGGGCAAGGTTACTTTCCCATAATAGTAAACTCCTACTGTGTGCCAAGTGATGGGCTAGGAGCTTTTCAGTCTCTTTAGAGTCTCCTTGTCAGACTCTGCCTGGACTCATTACAAAGACAAGTGCTCCTTTAAGGCTGTTATTAGCCCTTACACTGTGCTCCACTAAATTATCCCTTTTATCCTCATCATCAACTCCAAGGTGGGTATCACTATCATCTCCAGTTTATGTAGCTCAGAGAAGTGAAGTGATTTGCCCAAACCCACCCAGCTCGTTATGTGGCAAAACCCAGATTTCACACAGGTCTGCCTGCCTCCCAAGGCTGGGTGTGTTATGAAGCATTTCCCTTTCCTGCCTCTTCCACCTTTGCCAGCTGCCAACCTGCAAAGCCCCTACGCCCAGGTGCCTTGCATCCCGCTCTGTCCACAGCTGGACAAGAAGACGGCCCGACGGAAGCAGGGCAGCCACTATGTGCTGGACCAGTGCACCCCCACCAGCCTGGGCCCTGACATCCGTAGCCTCTTCTTCCACTCTGGATCTCAAGGAAGCAGGTGGGTGTCCAGAGGGCAGGGGCCCCAACCCAGGCCCATCCACCTCCTTCCTTATGAAGCCCCTGGCCGAACTCAAGGGGAATCCATCCTTTCAAGAGATGATGCCTGGGAGACTGCTGGTCCAGGGAGGAAAAGGGGGAAAGGATGGAAGGGGGAAGAAACTAACCTTTGTTAAGGGCCTGTGTACCAGGTAGATTGCTCCTAAGTCAGGGTACTTATGCCTTTCTGTGTCCAGGACTTGGTAACACATACTTTTAAGCTGGCACTACCTGCCTTCCTTGTGCAGTGGGTTTACCTCTCAAGCCCTCTGCCTGAGTCTGGTTCCATCAGGAGTAGCACGAAACAGCCTTAGCAGCTGGGTAGATGGATACAGCAGTCCCCTTGCAGACATCTTGGGATAAAAGAACAGTGGACTTGGAATCAGGCCCCTGAGCCCAACTGCTGCCTCCATCACCTCCCAGCGGACTCATCTCTGGTTGGGCACATGGGATGGCTCATTTCCTCGCACCCTTCTTCTCCGCCACCTCTCCCTAGGGAATCCAGCTCTGACAGCCGAAGATGGCTCAGCTCTGTGCCAGCTCGAACCCACTGACCGTGGAGTCCTGACTCTGGGCAGCCTTTCAGGGCCTGCAGATGGATGGGCCATCAGGCAGGAACTGCTGCTAGATTTTGCTTTTGTGGCCTGGTAAGCCAATAAATAATAAGAACCTCAGCCTCTGTGCCTGGTGCCAGGGAAGGCTCCAGGTTTCCCCGCCTCCACTTGGCTCTGAGAGTGCCCGGTTCCCGCTTCCCTTGGGCTTGGGAGCCCCTGAAGCAAGACTCGCCTCAAAACCCTGCCCAGGGCCAGGGGTCCTGCTACAGGTTGCCCTGGGTGCAAAGTCTTGACCTGTGCCCAGAACTGGGACTCTCCTCAGATGAGTCACCCTCACCCTCCAACCTTGGACTAGGAGCCCCACAAGGGCAGGGATTCTCTTCCACTTACTCGACGGGAATGGTGAACTCAAGGGAAGTACCTGGAAAGACTCTGGCCCCTAGAAGGGACAGACCTCATGGAAGGGCAGGAGGAGCCTCAGCCATGCTCTTACCAACAGAGCCCCAGGACCCAGAGGTCCCCTTTCCTTAGAGCCTAAGAGTTGTGGGTCCTAGGCCCCAACCCACACACCACCCCAGTCCTATTACTCAAAGGGAGTAATATTACTCAAAGGCTCCCTCCCTGGGACTGAGTGGAGGCAGCTCCCCAGTGATAAACAAGCAGCCACAGCAAGAGGTTAGGAGGCTAGAAATTGAAATGAGGACAAAGCGCTGACAAGTTTAAAACATGTATTTAAAATACAATTTATAAAATGCTTAATCTGCCGACTCAGGAGCCCGCGGTGCGGGGTGGGGTAGGGTGGGCAGCTGCCCGCTAGACCAGCAGAGCAGGACTGCAGGGGTGCGGCCCTCCCTCCCATGCCCTTCTGTTCAGACACCCAAGGGGCCCATGTGCACCCCTGAGATCACATGGCCAAAAACAGGAACCCAGAGGTTTCCAGAGTCTCTGCCAACCAGGGAGGCTGGGGCAGCCCTGCCGGCCCATCCCTGAGCAGAGCATCCCCAGATGGGGCAGAGCAGGGTATGGCTGGGCTGGACAGGGCAGGGCGGGGCAGTGGGCTCTGGAAGGGGCTTATGGTAGCAGATAGGGTGTTGCCTCCTGCCTGCAGGTGGGGAGCACCCTGATTGAGTGGGCGGAGAAGGGTTGGTCACCAGGCCCAGACCCCCAGCTCCTTTGGTTATAGGCTGACATCAGAGTAGTGGCTCATGGGAAGCGGTTAGCTGGAAGGTCTGAGGCCTGGCTTACGGGGTCAGGAAGGAGCTGGGGGAAGGGGACAGTACCACAAAGGCAGATAAAGGGGCAGCAGCCTCAGGTTTCTGCCCCCCACTCCTCTGGGGTTTTCCAAGCCAAAGCCTGCAGCTTACTTTTAAATTTTTTTTAAAAAATTAAAAAAAAAGCACTTAAGGAAAGTTAGACAACTACAAAAAAAAGGAAAAAGAAAAAACACCCACAAACACACACAAAATCCAAACCGTTCTACCATCTCCCCCCTCACCTCCCCCAACACAATAGTTTCCCGTTTTTCTTTCTTTCTTTTTAAAATTTTGCCTGCCACCTCCCCATCTGGGAAGCCAGGATACAACTGCTGGTGGGTGGTGACAGGCACACAGTGGGCAGAGCCCCATCTTTGGCCGGAGGGAGGTGGGAGCATCAGTCCCTACTACATCCTCCATCCACAGACACCCATCGGCCAGCCTTCCCTTGGCTCCCACGAGAGAAGGAAGCAAGAACAGGTGGTCCCAATGGCTGAGCAATCAGCACTTCTGGCCTTCCCACCTGGCCTGCCTCTGCACCCTTCTCCGACTGAAAAGGATAGCCTTATCTTGGGCCAGAAACTACTATTACATAAGGGATGGACACTATCCATGTAGAATGTGGAAACTTGGTCAGGGCAGTGGAACTGTAAAGACAGCAGCAACCTTCTCCCTTGCCTACTCCTGGAGGTCATTTCCCCCTTAGAATAGCCTGCAGGCATGATTCAACATCCTGTAGGTCCTTACTGACTGAAGCTTTGTTCCATCTCTGCTCATGAGCAATTTCCCAGTTTCACACAATTGTAAGGCTGTGCTGTGGACTAGCTGCTGACTCAACTGACAGCCGGCTGCCCGTCCTCCTAAGGGGAAGGTGCAATGGGCCAGGGCTTGCTGGGCCTGGCAACATCCCCACAGGGCAAAGTGGAGGGAGCCTGCAAAAGCTAGCTTGCCACCTTGGCCACCACAAGCTGCCCTAATCACAAATGTCACACCAACCACTCCAAAACTCATGTGCTGAGCCAAGAGGCCGTCTGGCTGGCCGAGGGGCCTAAGGCGCAGTACAACAGAAGAGATCAGAAAGCTTGAGGGGCCAGACTGTACACGTACAGAGCCGCTCTGGGCAGGGCCCTCTAAGCCTCTTCCACCTCAAAGAGCCAAAGCAAATCTCCAGGCTCCAGGGACAGAGGAGAAACTGCCTTCATTCTGCTCTGGAAAAAGGGGTGGAGGGTAACCTAGGCCAGTGGGGAACCAGGCTGTCATCACCAACCTTTGCAATGCACAGCCTGTCTTCTCCCAAAGGTATTCAGAATAGTCTGCTCCCAAGGTAGTGATTTCAAAAAGGAAACGTACTGGGTAGAGTCACCAAGCTGATGCCATCAAGAGATGGCACTCCACACTCCACAGACCCTTGAGCATTCTAAGCCTTGCCGGAGTGGGAAGATCTACCTACCTTCTGACCACACTAGGCAGGAGGCCGAGTCCTGGAGTCAGACTGCCTCCTGGCTTTCCTTATGCTAACAGCAAAATACTGAGCAAGTCCCGCAGCCCTTACTCCTGAAGTCCAGGAGTGCAGCCTCACTCCCTGCTCTCTTCTAGTAGTAAGCTTGGCTGGTAGGGAACCACCCTGAGGAATTTTGGAAAGGGAAGTCTGTTTACCTTCCCTATCTCCCAAAATACTAGAGGTGAGGGGCTGGCACCCTCCCCAGGCTCTCTGAGCCTGCAGAGCTAGCCCAGTCTCCAGGTATGGCCCAGATGCCCTGGGACTTAGCTGGGGGAGGGAGGTATAGGCATGGGGTGCTCATCTGTATTGGGGGCTGCAGAGCCCTGCCCCTTTTCCGGGTGGCAGTAGGAATACAGAAGCTAAGCTCACCAAAATCCTATTGGTTAATGTTTCTAGTGAATTGCCCAGAAACATTTTTAAGTAGACTACCAAACTACTCTTTCTCAATTAAAAATTCATTAAACTGCTAAAACCCCTCCCATGCACTTTTTTTTCCAAATCAAATATTTGCATAAACAAACAAAAATAGGAAGGAAAGGAAAAAAAAGAAAGGATATTTTCAAATGGAACTTGCTTTTAAGTGATGAAGACATGCACTTGAAGGTGGGTGGACAGGAGTTCTCATTTGTGTTTTGAATTCCCAAATTAATGAGCATGATAAACTGTTATTGCTGGCACTGGCTTTACCCCAAGTGGCCAGGTGGCACTGTCGACTCTCTACTCTGACTCCTTGGTGGGTCCCCCCAACCCTCCTCTAACCCTTACCCTTTCCCTTTCCATTGACCTGGGACAGCCCTTGTAGACATGCCAATCACAGTGGGAAGGGGGGGGAAGAGAGGTCACAGTGCATGGGGTTCAAGGTCACAGTGGGCGGAGCAAAGGGGATCACAGTGCAAGTAAGTCAGGTCGTTCCCTCTGCTCAAGTCCAGCTGTCTGCCACGGCAGTGCGACCCATGGCAGACGACCCAGGAGGTGGTGACGGCAGCAGCGGCGGCATCGTTTCCTGCGCGCATTTATCTACGTTGTTTGAAGCCTTGTGACCCATCAGGACCCAAAGGCTGTCTGATCACATTGTTGGGCTGCCTGCTGTCTTCGGGTTGGGAGATCCTGGTTGGCCTGAAAGGAAGAAGATCAGAGGGAGGCCTGAAAAAGGATATAAAAGAGGTCCCCAAATCTTAAAATCAACCACTCCTGTACCTAGGACAGAAGTCACAGTGGCCAACAGCCAACTCTGGCTCCCTGAGCCTACTTCTTTGGCCAGCAGACTCAGCACATCGCCACACTGGGAAGCCCCGGTGAGCAGGTGAGGCAGATGGTCCATGTTCACCTCTGGCGCCTGCAGCACTCTCCCCCTTGGCTGGCTCGCCATCAGACACCTGGAGTCAAGGGGAGTGCTCAAGGGCCCACCCTGTTCAGAGGCCATGACTATGGATAGCATGTCTTCCACATAACCTCGTTTGTCGCAGAGATGCCCCAGAGTGTCAGGCCAAGATAAAGACCTCTAACCAAGAGCTCAGCAGAGTTCCCTGGCACTCGCCACTGCTGCCTCCTGCTTCTTTCCAAATCATGGGGTCAATGGTTGACTCACATTACTACAGAAAACTAAAAGAAAACAAACTTTTGCTACTTTGCCAAATGAAGGCTTAGAGGACAGATAATGGAAGTCTATCAAAATAATGAAGGGACAGAAAGAAGGTACAGAGATTAGTTCTTCAAGTCCCAGAACATCAACCCCAAGGAGGCTTCTCAAAGTTAGAAAGGGGCTGTTTTAACAAATACTGCTTTACCAGGTGACAAACTTACATAAAGCAATCTCTGGGGCTGCACAGAAAAACATGCCAGGAATAAAAAAGAATTTAGAAAATTCACAAAAACATCATAGTGGGCTCTTATGATAACACCTAAACACTTAACTGGGCACTTTCCCATTCTGGCAGGCAAGGTCCCAGGACCCACTGTCATTTAATTGCACAGCATACTGATGAGGCAGGTACACTTATGATCTCATTTTTCAAATTAGGCCATGAGGGCACAGAGAGGTTAAGCAGCTCTAAGTTAAGTAGAATTAAGTAGCAGAGGTAGGCTCAAACTGGTCGATTTTGACGCAAAGTCCATGCCTGTAACCTCTGTGCCACATTGCCCCCTGGTGCCTGCAGAGGCAGCATGCCAGCAGACTAAGACCTCAAAGCTTTCAGAGCAGTCCTGGAACCAGTGCCAGACAACAAACTAGCCCCACTAGCCAGGGC